CGAAAGACGTGTTCATCCTCTGAGGGAAGACTCTTATTTATTTAAAAAAAAAAGAAGAGGATTTTAGGATTTAATTGCATGTAACTCGGAGCAATCCATCAGGAAGCCTATACACAACAATGAATGTCTCAATAGTAAGCAAGGGATAACTTGAAAGGCCAAAAACCAGATGGATAGACCGTATCGACAAAGATGCAATACAGCTGCGTGCAGTCAACTGAAAAGAAATAGCCCTAGATAGATATTAATGCTTATCTGATGAGATGGAATTCAATTTCAAAAGAAATAGTACTACTGAATTATTGTATCATGTTTTTTTTTTCATTTTATAATATGCCGAATTTAATTTATTTATATGGCGGTTGTAGGAAAAACACTTAAGACAACAAAAAAAAAAAAAAAAAAAAAAAAAAATTCCCTAATACAAATAACAATATGCAATTTCCAACACTTTAATCTCCTTTTTACTCGTCCAAAACTCCATGGTTTTAAAATTTTGTATAAAATGTCATTTTGTATAAATTACCTCCATTCCCTCTCTGAAGACCTTCGGTAAAATTTATGTTTATTTATTTCTGGGACATCTTTTTGATTTATGAACTTAATTTTTTCAAGCATGAACAAATCTATCGTATTTTATTTTTTATTAGTACATGAAATTCTAAAAATTACTCAATAACCTGTTAATTAAGATTAAATAAAACGATTGCGCATGAATTGTTAAGCTTGATAATTTTTTCTTCGTTTCTTAGATCTAAACTTAGAATCCTGTAAACAAGATAGTTATGAAAAATCAAAATTCTATCTCACAATCGTACGTAAATGTCCAAATTGGTTTTTTTAGATAAACTCTCTTATTGACTCCGAATCGGTTATTCAACTGTCAATCTCCATAATTTCTTTGTTCGAATCCGTTCAGGAGCCACCCACCCGCAATGGAGTTGAAGAATCATCCGGGTTTCGTCGTGGCCGAAAACCGTTTTAACACAATAGAAAACAGTTAGGCCCCTCACACTCACTCGGGAATTCCGAACATAAAGTCTACCTTCTCAGTACATCACTTTCTGATCGTATAGTTCTTCAAGGATTAAGAATGATACATGTAATGTATAATTCCTATTTGCTACATAATTAAAATATTGCAAACAAATATTAATATATAAAATAAAAGTCATGGATAGAAAACATCTTAATATCTATTTAAGGTTAAAATTTCGACACTGCTATTTTTATATATCGTCGATACAAAATTTTTCATATTTTCGCATTCGATAGTTAGGAATATTAATTTAATATTCATGTCATTAAATAATATTATTGTATAGTATAATACATATACTATGTTTTTAAAAAGGGATTACAAAATCTTCAAACGTTAATAAGAGTACATATTTATGTGGAAATTAAAACATCCTCGTTGTTTGGTCTGAATAGATAATTATATTAGAGGGGTAATTTTCAGATTTGATAGTTAGAATTTGTATCGACCACTACCGGACCCGGGATTTAATTTTGGGGGCTTCAGCCCGAAAGATTTTTTTTTCGTATGTATATGTTACGATAATTATTTCGGAAGAAAGAATAAAACTAAGTACCTATATGAAATGGTGTTTAAATGATTCTCTAAGTCCTATTAAATGCAATTAGACGAAGTATAATACCTTCAGAGATAATTTTTTTCATAAAACTTGGTTATACTTTACCATTTTGGGGAACTTCAGTCCGAAAGCTCCCCCCTCCCCTCCTCTCTTTCACCCTGTGGTATCGACGATATAACCTGGTTTAATTTATAAACATAAAAGTATTTGCAAATCCTTCAAATAACAAAAGAAGTCTTTAAGTCACAGAGCTCTGCAGCTTAAAGACTTTATTTATTTGTAATTTTAAATATTTCTAATCTGCTTGTTAGTAGGTATTTTGGATTCTTGACCATATTTATTTATCGTTTTATAATCAATTATTATTATTTTGAGTGCTCTAATTCACTAGATATGGTCTTCAAAGCCTCAACTTGCCAAGGTAAAATTAATAAATTGTTTAATTAATTTAATTTTTTCCAATATACTTATTAATTATATTGATATTTAGCATGAGACTAATCTGAAATATTTTTGATGCTCGAGACTAGTTTGTTATGGTTAGACCCTGGCTAAGTTAATACGCCTCGCCTGATTGTTTGCGGACCTTCTACGGAAATTAATCCGCCATTGTAAAGAGAAATAACAAAAGGACGTAGTGCCTTTCTAATGGCAACTCCTCTTATTTCCTAGGTCGGTAGGCTTCTCTTGATGAGCTCGTCCATTGAGTGCTGTACCATCACCGGCTGGTCTAGTTGGAAAACCATCGAAATATATCTGCTGTCATTTTATTGTATGGTATCATTAACACGGTTATGTTTCTTGATCGAAATTGTGATTGGTGACGTTGTAGAGATACATATTTTTCTGATAGATGCGACAGAAAAGTAATCATTCTTCGCTTGTTTATAGTCCGCGGTACAGACCCCTTTTTATCAAATTATTAACATCCGTCTGAAACTCCGTAAATAGCTTCATCTCATCGTGACCTATAAATATTTTATTTAAGAAAATTCTCGGAATTAGGGCGTTTTCAATCTGGAGGAGGGCAAACCTTGTCTATTTAATTAGGTACTGAAAACTCGTAAACACCCATTTGCTTTCCACTTTAATCGTAAGATAACTTGAGCAAAAAATCGAGAAAAACGGTGGCCTTCTAAAATATTCAGCCGTTTGGCGTGACTTACACTCCCTAATTGTCAAAATAACGAGGTTATATACGCAAACGCCTCAATATTTTTGAAGGCCAGCTTTTTTCTCGACTCGAATCTTCTGAATTAGTCTCAAAAAACATTGCTGAAAGGAGATTGGAAATATCAGATATGAAAGACATTTTTTATATATTTATCTAAATATAATTATTTTTAAAAAAAATCTCATTTCAAAACTAATTAACCTAATTAATTTTTTTTCCTCGAAAAGAGCTAGATAATATTTAAATATATTATAGTGGTTAAAGTTATTAAACGAATCTTATTAGATATTATTACCATCAGTTATATCAACTTCTGCTTGAAATTATTACAATAACGTTTTTAAACAATTCCAGAACGACAATGTGATTTGTTAAGTCAGTTTCACATATCAAGATGATACACAAAAGGGACAAAGACATTTTCAATCCCTCATCCTACCGACCTATCAGTCACCTTCCGATATGTTCCAAAGTTTTCGAAAAATTAATATACAAAAGGCTGGTTGACATACTGACAGACCAACAAATAATACTTGACCATCAATTCGGTTTTCGTACATTTCATTCAACTACACACCAATTACACAGAGTTACTGACTACATTGCTGGAGCGCTAGAGCAAAAACAATATGCTACCGGCGTATTTCTGGATGTTGCCCAGGCATTTGATAAAGTCTGGCACCAGGGACTTCTCTTTAAACTCAAATCTATTCTGCCTAATACATACTATCTCATTCTTCAATCTTTCCTTTTCGACAGATTCTTCTCTGTCCGACAGGGTTTAGAAATTTCCTCAATTATCATATCAGCAGGGGTGCCTCAAGGATCAATATTGGCACCTTTACTCTACACTGTCTATACGCATGACATGCCTACTACCTGAACCTCTGACTGCTACTTACGCTGACGATACAACAATTTTAACAAAACACCACGACCCCAGACTAGCCTCATTAAATTTACAAAATCACTTACTAAATTTACAAAATTGGTATTCACTTTGGAAAATTAGATTAAATCACAACATATAACATTTACGCATCGACGAGAAACATGCCCACCAGTTTATATCAGCATCAATCCAATTCCTCAGACGGACACTATACGCTACCTCGGACTAATATTCGACAGAAGGATGACCTGGGACTCACACGTCAAAATGAAAAGAAAGACTTTGAACAAGAGACTGAAAATATTATACTCCCTGTTTTCTAAATCAAAATTGAAAATTAGACCAGGAAGGCCAAAAAGCAGATGGATAAACTGAATCAAGCAAGATGCAATAACATGCAGGTAGCTGGAAAGAAGTAGCCAAAGATAGGCTTGTTGGTGGAGATAGGCTTGTTAAGGCGGCAAAAGATGTACAAGCACGGGCGGATCTCCGAGGTGGCTTTGGGGCTGCATTCCCCCACCAAAATGGTAAAATATAACTATGTTTTATGGAAAAAAAATTGAAAAATTATCTCTTAAAGTATTATTGTTCGTGCAATTACATTTAAAAGGACCTTAGGGATCATTTAAACACCATTTCATATAGGTAGTTAGTTTCTTTCTTCTTTTTCAAAGTAATTATCGTTATTTTTATGAAAAAAAAACTTTCGGGCTGAAGCCCCTCCCAAAATTAAATCTTGGATCCGCTAGTGTCTACTGTTACGCACAAGGAAAAAAAAATAGATGTACGATAAATCACTTGTATTGTATATATATGCATTGTATTGTTTATCACTTGTATACTGTATTTATATGTAGGCAAGTGAAAGTAATAAGTAAACCGATGAACCGTTTTAAGTATCAATATAGAAACAGGTCGGTTTCAGAATAGGTGCAGAGAAATTTAAGCGCATGAAGGTTATTAGGGTAATTGTCTGGCGGCGGTGAAATATGCGAGTTTTAATTAATTTCTAGATTAAAGGACAGTGTCGCCGTTACATGCGGGTAATTTTTGCTGTTTAGGTCACTGGCATTAATTAAATTAAATTATCTTAGTATAATGATATGGTCCAACAATTAAGCTGATAAGCAAAACAGTACATGTTAATAATAGATTGATGGAAAAAAATGCAAAATAGACAATTTGAGGAAAATCCCAATGTTGCAATTAGTTTATTGTCTTATATAAGAGGCCTGCTCATGGACCCCTCCTCCCTAACTTTTCTCCCTTCCCCCATGAACCCATCCACTCCTGTCCAGTTATTACGCCTGAGACGGCGCCGTTGACCTAAAAAGACTTAGCTTACTGATGGCCACCTTTCGTGCTGACCTGGGCAAACACGAACCACTCTAATGCGAAGAATGACTTCACGAGGTCTTTGGTGGGCGTTCATAGATCTGGGCACGCACTTTTTGTTGTGTAAACAACGCATCACGCCTTCAAACTGGATGGATGATATCTCATTTTCTTTTCCTAGCTGGAGATTGGAACAACATTTAAAGGCAGATTTATACTTGAAATTATCTATAATTACTTGCAAGTATTTTTTTTAACGCTGGCAACTGCAAATAGTTTGAAGTTGGTTCGGAGTCGGGGGTAACTTCCGTATTTAATGCCGAGGCTATAGAAGTATACTTGAGGTTCTAAAGTATCAGCAGAACCTTCTCGTGCGATTATTTTCTCTAAAGCCTCCATCAAGAATGTTCACAGCTCCTCTCATGCTATTACATCTGAAATATTTAATTTACTATGCCAGTTAGATAATAGGAGCATAAATGCACATATTATATGGATAAAAGGGCATAGTGATAATATATTTAATGACAGACCAATGGCTAAAAATGTGTTTATCGAAATCAGGGGGCTCTGAAACGTATAGATACGTCAAAAACCGCATATAGAAAATTTGACCCGCTTCCAATACTTTTCTTATCTAGTTTAGGCAGGAAGTGATACATTAAATAGAAAATAGAATATGCTCTATCATCGCTAATACTCGTTCGATTCCGATGATTTTTTTTTTTTTTTTGGTGATTTAATTACCTTTCAAAAGTTTTATTATAAATTTTACCACAGAATATTAAATTAAATAGCGAGTTAAGCCCCAAACATTTTTCTTTTCTTTATTACTTTTTTCCTGAATTTTTTCGGGTATTCAATATATACAAAAATTGATAGGACAATTATTAGAATATTGTAGGAAAGTTTCATTAAAATCGTTAGAGCCGTTTTTGAACTACAGTATATATAAAAACATGTTTATCATTTATTGCCCAGCAGCTATTGGGCATGGAGCATCCAATTTGTGGCACAGGCATCAGTAGTCAAAACTCTACAAAATGAAAAACGCAACAAAATCGGTTCAGTAGTTCCCGATAAAATCTTGACATAGATAGACAAACCGACCAATGGCTAAAAATGTGTTTTTCGAAATCAGGGAGCTCTGGAACGTAAAGATCAGTCAAAAACTGCATATCGGAAATTTGACTTGATTGCAATACTTTCCTTACCTAGTATAGGTAGGAAAGTAAAAACTGCAAATAGAGCGAATTTATTTCAACATATCTCATATCCGCTATGCTATCAACATTGTACAGACTATATGTATAACATGTTATTGTGATGAATATATTAGAGTTAAATTGTTACACCAAGGTTGGATAAACAAAAGAATTTTTTGTTTATTTTGGCTTTAAGGCGTAAAACTCCAGGGTCTAAAACGACAAAATAATAAAACGAATAGTAAAAAATAAAAATATTAATAAAATATTTATAGTAAAAATGTTACTTTAAAAAAAGATATAATGAAAAAGAAGGTATAGGGAAGTGTTTTACACATGATAACCCACATAATAAATGTATCGTATTGTTTTTAACATTTAGAATTTTGGCTTTGATTAACATTTCGCACAATGATAAAAATAAACAGACGTTTGTATTTCACAACATAATGATTGAACATTAATTAATTAATTAATGTTGTGGATATGATTCGATTATCTCACGTTTTTTACTGGTTAATGAATTATTTCCAGAGTATTTGCTTGATAAGATAATGGAATCAATTGGTGTAAAGGTGAAACACAATTATCCAACTTAATTGATAGCGACATTAGAGCTATGCCCAACTTTTTTTAATTTCTGGTGTTTAAAACGTTAGAGGGAAAGCATCAAAAACACTAGCATAGGGGAAAAAAAAGGATTAAATATTTGTTTCTCATAGTTTGTGAAATTTCTAAACGTATCTTAAGAGTACTCGTATTGCTTATATTTTTCATTATGTAGTAAATTATTGTTGGTTATATAAATGTTAACAAGATTAATTCCTTGATAACTTAAAGTAATTAAAAATATATATATTATTAATACTTTAATCTGTTTTCTTTTCCTCATTTATAAAAATAGATATTTTTAGAATATTTGTCCGCAGGAATTTTACATTTTGTTTATTTTATGTATATTCGTTGACTACAAGAAGGCATTTGATAGCATCATGAGATCAGCTCTGTTAAGAAAGGTAATGAAAAGTGGAGTGCCACATAAACTAATTAATTTAATACGCATGACCATGGAAAATGCATCATCCAAAGTTGTTATTGGAAATAAAGTTGGTCGATTGTTCAAAGTACAATCTGGAGTGTCTCAAGGAGATGCCTTATCGGCAACACCATTCACCATAGCTCTGCATGATTCTGTGAACGATGCAACTAAAAAAGGCAAATCATTGATAAGACCTGGCAAATTTGTTTTTACGCTGATGACCTGGTGATAGCTGCACGAAGTGATAAGGCGCTTAAAGAGGCATTTGTGATTGTGTACCAAAATGGCAACAAAGTAGGACTTGTGGTCAATGAAAACAAAACTAAATACCTGAAACTGTCCTCGGCAGCAAGTAGAAGATCCTGCAATGAAATCACAATAAAGAATTTTAAGTTCGAAAATGTACCCACATTCCTGTATCTTGGTTCTGCCCTAAATAATGAAAATGTAATCAGCAGAAAAATAGACAACAGAATAATGGCTGGTAATAGAGCTTACTATGCAAACCTAAAACTTCTCAAGTCTCCATTGTTGTCAAAAGCAACCAAAATGAAGCTGCATTAAACGCTTATTAGGCCAGTAGTCACCTATGGAGCGGAAATCTGATGTTTATCGCAAGAGGATTGCCGTGAACTAAAAGTATTCGAAAGGAAAATAATAATAAGGTTTTACGGTGCTACAAGTGTTAATGGCAAGTGAGAAATCAATAGTAACAATGAAATCGAGGCTATATTAGAGAACCAAAACTTTACTAACTATATCAAGGCAAGTAGGCTTAGATGGGCAGGACATGTAGTCAGAATGAAGTTCATTCTCCTGGGTGCAGAGAAAAATATTGGAACCACACTTCAGCGGGAAGAGGAAAAGAGGAAGACCGAGGAGCAGATGGAAGGATGAAGTGGAGAGAGATGCGAAGAAGCTAGGAGTTCGCAATTGGAAGAGAGTAGCACAGGACAGAGAGAAATGCAGAAAAACAACTCAGGAGGCCAAGGGTTATGCTGACCTGGAGCGCCGGGGAGTTGGTGTAAAATCTTTCTTCTATCTACCTTTTTGTTTATGTTTTGAAAATTTCTGTTAGTAATTCGATGACAGGGCCAAGTTTTAATAGTTATACATCAACTTGCTTGAAAAAGTGTGAGACGATAACATAATGTTTTATGTAATTCTTTTGCGGTAAAAAAATCAGTGCTTGCTCGTTTTTAGGACATGGTTTATGGTTCTTGTGGTATAGTATTTCTCTGTGGTTTAGCTTGTTTTCACCGATTAGTATTATATTCAATAACTAATTTCTTATATTTATTCAATCATTGTATCTTTCATTTTAATATAATTTTCTTTTTCTTCTCTTGTATTTCATTATATTCAATAAAATTCAAAATTAGCCTAGTATTTATATCAGGGAGAGAAACCAATAAGTCAACAAATTTTCTCCGGCACACATCAAATATTAAATTCACCACTGAAAATCAGCTTATATAATACATTATATTCCTATAAATACATGAAACAAAAATGTTATGTTAAAAAATTACATGATCATAACATAATATATGTAACATTCTATTTAAATAATTTAGATGGTAAAAAAAAAATGGTCGATCGGGCTGGGCTCCCTTTGTGGCACGCCACCACAGCCTGGTTTCTCGTTTAACTGTTCTGTCCAACATTTCTAACGATTCTTAGTGTATGAGGAGTTCAAATAAATACGAAATTTTTAAAAAATAGTATTTTTAATTGTTTCGCCGACGTTTCGACCCACCTTGCAGGTCTTCATCAGGGCATTGCATCAGGCACTGCAGGACTGCAGTACTCAACTTCTTATTGGTTCATGAGATTTCTTGACCTTCACTTCCTGGATAACCCCGAGCATATCTTGACGGCTTCCGAAGAATGCTGCGAAATTCTTCGAATACCGTAGTCACAGAATACAATTTGAATTCAAATATTGTAACCAAATTAAGTATAAGGAAGCTAGAGATTAAATTGTACCTAGTATATTAAATACTATAATATATATTATCGTTGATTCTAACTTTCTAATTCTAATAATTTATCAAATGAGATGCAGGGTGAAAAGGAGTTGAGTGTCTGTAAATATATCGTAGTTTTTACTGACTTTCTTGGTTTAGTGAGATCAGTAGATGGCGATTTTCGTTCTATTTGAACTATAAAGGTTAATATTTGTGTAATCAATTTTCATTATTGGCATTTATTTAAATGAATTTATTAAATTTTAATAACAAGACTTCAGATTTCGAACTTCCGATTTTTTGCTTTTACTTACCTATATGTAATAAATGGTAAGGGAAAGTATTGCGATCTTGAACATTTTCGAATCTGAGTTTTCAACGGAAATACACGTTTTGAGGTTCCCAGAGTCCAAATAATCAAGTCCGCAATCAGGTATGTGTGTCTGTGTATCCGTGTGTATGTTAGCAGTCTAGCTCAAAAACGAAAAGTCGTACGAAACTGATATTAAGTATTTAAGATAGGTATATATGTACATGTCTTATATGTGACAGTAACTTTTCTTTAAAATCGGCTAACCGGAAGTGCCACATTATTTTAACGGTGCACATTAACACATTTTGCATGGTAACACATTTTTACAAGTTTCTCAAAAACGCCTCTAACAATTTTGATTAAACTTTGTGTGTTATTGTATAATTAAGTGGTCTTTAATATGATTTAGATCTTATCCCCATTTATGTCACTTTATACTGCATAAATGCCCAATGTTCATATACGTCTTCTCCTAAAGTACCTTTAATATGGTTTATTTAAAATAAAAATAACTCTGTGTTATTATCAGTAACTATAAAAAATGGCTAAATATGAAGTTTAAACGAATATGAAAATTGCAAACTGCAGAAAAAAAGAAAAAGTTTTTGAATTTAAAGGAGAGTGACGAAAAAAAATACAAATAATAATTTCTGAAAACTAACATTATTTAACGTAAATCATATCTTTCCAAGGAAATTAAATGAAATTTTCTTATTAAATATAAATTTTTAAATTTGTTTCTAAGTTTAAAAAAAATGTTTAAAATCCACCGAATCGAGCCAATCCCATTGTTTAAAATACAATTTCATTATAGTTCGATGAAAGAACAAGTGAAATATAAAAATATTTCATGGAAATAACCTTTTATAACC